AATTTAGAAGTCAGTAGAGGTTCCCTGAGGAAGTACCATTGAAGCTAAAATCTGAAGAATGAGTAGGTATTAGTTGTGGTAACAGAAGAGTGGGGAGGAAGGAGAAGGGAAGGTAGTGGAAAAAACATTCCAGTGATAGAGTTATATGGAAGATACAGGGTACTAAGAAAAGAAATAGCCTTTCCTTGTTATAGTAGAAGATATTGGGAAAAGGCATCTTTGTTGAATATATTTTGTTCGCTGCCTGTATTACCAAGGAAAAAATTCACAACGTTCCCATTACCCTTTGTTAATAACTAAATTTAGGTGGCTTTCTAATTTTTTATTGTTTAATGTTTTTTATTTATTTCTGTGAGAGAGAGACAGCGTGAGCAGGGGAGGAGCAGAGAGAGAGGGAGATACAGAATCTGAAGCAGACTTCAGGCTCTGAGCTAGCTTTCAGCACAGAGCCCGACGCAGGGCTCGAACTCACAAACTGTGTGATCATGACCTGAGCCGAAGTCAGGTCACTTAACCAACTGAGCCACCCCGGCACCCCTAGGTGATTTTCTTTTCATAGGTGCTGTTGCAACTAAAGGAATAAAGAGGCATCTTGGATTAGAGAGAGAATCTAGATATCAGAAAACTAGTTTTATCTTGACTTTTGCTTATGACCTTGACCAAATGACTTATACCTGTACCTCTGCCTTTTCATTTGTAAAAGGGAGATGATAATATTAACCAGTTTAACTTGCAGGGTAGGATCAAATAAGATAACGGTGCAAGAAGTATAAAGCACCACTTTGTGCTGAATGATCTTTTTTCATAGGCATTTTAAGCATATTAAACAGTTTCTCAATTTCTGACAGTTCTATCAGTAGAAACTGAAATTCATTTTTCTTATGATTTCTAGTTATAGCAGTAGGGACTGCATTCTCAGTTCCATAATAATTAAAAACCCTTCTTCATTACCCTTAAACAGGAATAGAATTGGATCATGTCTCTTCTCTTTTCAAAAGACCCATTTGTTCAAAGTAAAAATATTTTAAAGTAGAAAAACTGGAGAATCCAGTTATTTTTCAATCATCAAAAACCAGAATTCATTTCTGCTGTGATTAAGTGTTTTGATTCCTTTGCTTTTTATGGTGAAACTTATCTGACCCGTCCTTCCTTACTTTTCTATTTAAACTTATTATCTGATTTCCCAGGCATGAATTTATTGACAAACACAGCAATATAACTGCAACGAAACTATACTGAAATATAATCTCTACATAATTAATAATTGAGATCTTAGGTGTTTAAAAAAACCTTCTTCCAAGGGTTCCATGTTGAGTGTCCGACTTGATTTTGGCTTAAGTCATGACCTCATGCTTTGTGAGATCGAGCCCCATGTCAGGCTCTGCACTGAGAGCATGGAGCCTGCTTGGGATTCTCTCTCTCCCTCGCTGTCTCTACCCCTCCCCTGATCGAGCTCCATCTCTCTCAAAATATATAAATCCACATAAAAAAAAGTTAAGATGTACCTGGGTGGCTCAGAAAGTTATGTGTCTAACTCTTGATTTTGGATCAGGTAATTATCTCATGATTCCTGAGTTCAAACCCCACATCAGGCTCTGTGCTGACAGCATGGATCCTACTTGGGATTCTCTCTCTCTCTCTCTCTCTCTATTTCTCTCTCAAAATAAATAAATGAACAATTTTTTAAAAGTTAAAACACACAAAAAACCTTCTAGTGTCATGTTAGTTTCCTATGTAATAAGGCACACCCGTGAACTAAAACATTGTTAGCTTATGAATTCATTTTGCCAAAAATTTACTTGAAAACATTTTAGTTATAATTAAGTATATAGATGTCAAATATTTCTTTCACAAATAGTAAATTTGTCTATATGTTTCTCTTTTTTTTTGTCTATATGTTTCTATAGCCACAATTAGGAATATCAATCTCTCATTCATCAAAGTAAAAGGAAAAGCTCATTCTAAAATATTTTAAAAATATTGAAAACTGTAAAAGTACTACTTTACAGAGATGAAGAGTGAATTTTCAGTTCTGAACATCACATCTCTTTTGTTTATAATCTTTCCCTTTTTTCTTTGGTAAGTAATTAGATTTCAAAATACAGGAGCTCTATTAAAAATGCCTAATTTAAAAGCCCTGTTGAGGTCTTTTTAAAAAATTCTATTACAAATTGCAGGCACCTTAAAGAAAGTTTGACAATTTCATTGCATTAATTATCTCTGTACTGTGTGGAGAAGATTTTAAAAGCCATTTGAAAGGAGAAAATAGTTTATGGATAACTGGTGTCTTTAGAGATGGTGAAAAGCTCTTGAAATCCATATTCAGGAATGTCATTTAGTTGATGTCCAATTTAATTCTACTCCTGCTAGTATATGTTTGAAGGAAACAGAGTTCATGGAATTATACATTCAGATCAGGGAGCACTCGTTTCTGCATTTGGTACAGTGCAAAGGTCTCTGCAAGAGGAATCAGGAATGTGAGGTTCAAGTCTCAACTCTGCCACCCACTCTCCATATCACTTAAGCCACTTAAGAAAGTCACTTTGTCTCTGCACATCAGTTTCTTATTTGTAAAATGGAGATCATGATGACTTTCTGGTAAGTTTGTTATAGGAATAAGTGATATCACATACATACAGAAAGAAATCATAAAATTTTTCATGAGCTCAAAGATTCCCATAAGAGATACTACACAGAATAGTTTAATATGAATTTTGTGTTCTTGTTCTTGGTTCCTTTTCATATGTATATGTGCTGAATCCTCATTAGGTTATAAGCTCCTTATAGCCACAGTGAGCATATCATATCCTCTTTCCATGTTGCTCTCCAGATTATGCATCACTAATGGACACTCGTCAGGCTTTGTTGACAGATACTCTCTCTCTTATCCCTCAGTTCCAATATCAAGCAAATAGTTACAGCTGTCAGAAAGCCTCCTTTCACCTATTCTATGTCTAAACCTCTTTGCTGTAATCCATGCCTATTTCCACATATTCTATCCTCTCTAAACTCACGGAGAATTGGCAGGTCAGCATCAACTTAACAAAAGCCTTCATCACTGTTACCAAACTCTTTTCAGCTGCGAGACAGAATCCTAGGTTCTCAAGTTAAACCTACCCCTCCTGCAATCCAAAGCAAGTGGAATTAACTACTTTAACCCCAGGAGAAAAGGCAGAGTACAGGCTGGCTCACTGAAGACTTCTAGAGCCAAGGAGTTCTACAGCAAAGCCCAACAACCCTGCCTGGGCGACTGAGAGGAACAAAGTACAGCGGCACAAAACCGCTAGAGGAAATATGGACAGAGAAGAAAGGCAGGACAGGGATAAAGACACCAGTGAAACTACAGTGTTCCCGGAGCCCATATTCCCTTAGAAGAATGAGGAGATACTCTGATCTATCCTGATGCTTAAACAAAAGTCTTTATTTAACAGGTAACTTAGCATTAGCTCCTAATAAAACACTTTTAAAAGCTGAAGGGATGGTGAGGAAGGGGTGGCTATCTCTCAGTCTCCCTCCTTGGATCCTATCAACCTGCATACCTGGTCTCCTCTCGGCTCAAAGTAGTTTTTAATAATTGGGCCCAGTTCAACGCATCTTTCAGGTTTAAGAGAAGGGTATTTTTAATCAAAGCCACCTCGCCCACTGTTTATCAATATGATGTGGCTTTCATTAAACAGCTCTACGAGGGCTCACGCAATCCTCCGGCTCGCGTAGACACACGTGCCCACAAGCCAGTCCGGCGCTCTCTGCGCTTCAGCACCGCCGCCTCTGGATAGCGCCTTGCCGGCAGGCTGGCTCCGGGCCTCCCACCCGTCTCTCCATCTCCAGCCCACTCTCTCTCCGCTTCTCGTTTACTTCAGTGTCAGAAAAAAAGCACCTCCAACTTCTAACCTCTACTCCATGCCCCTCCGCGAGTGGCCTCCGCGCCTCTCCCTCAGGGTCTAAACGCGCACGCCCCCGCGCCGTTGGGTCCTACCCGAGCAGCAGCGAAGCCGCGTCCACCGGTGGCCCGAGATCTCCATCAGGCGCCGATCACATTTCCCTTGACCCTGCCGAATCCCAAAGCAGCAGCCAGGAGCCCCTGCTCGCTCCCTTTCTCTCCACGCCCCAAAGCCTCCAAGAAACAAACGCGCAATGATGCGCGCTCCCCTCCCCCCCCCCGCCCCAACTCGCGCGCGCACACACACTCACACTCATACACACACTCGCACGCCGCAAGCCTTCTGGGTGCCATCGCCGCCCTGGGCAGAGCCTCAGCCAACTTGGGCCCGGATCCATCAACACCGGCTGGCTCGAAAAGGGCTGCCCGCAGCGGCCGCCCCGCCCCCTCCCCTTCCTAGGCAGTGGGTCCGGGCAGCCAAGCCTAGGCTGGCGAGCCCCCCACCCCCTTCACTCAGCCATCCACCTAGCGCGGGCAATATACGGTCCAGAACCCTCAAACATTCGCCCCTGGGCCGCCCTGAACCGTTAGCCAAACCCGAAATTATTCTCCTTGAAGCCCCAGCCCCGCTAATGGTGTGATGTGTGTGAGTGTGTTTGTGTCTTCCAGGCATATACATCATTTAACTCCTGAGAGCTTTCCACCCATCCTAAACAAACAGCACGTTATCTCCAATCCCCTCCTGCTTCTCCGCGTCCCAACCTCTGCCCCCACCCCGATCCTCACCAGCCAAGTGGCCAAACTACCACACCACCGCACCCCAGTTCTGGAGCCTCGACCTCCCACCGGGTCCAAACCCAGTCACCTCCGGCCCCTCCCCTCCCCCACCCCTTCGGCCCCCCGCGTGCCGGGTCTGGCCCGAGCAAGTGACGCCTGGGAAGCGCAGCCTACGTTCCTTCCCAGGAGCCCGGAAAAGAGGGGCTGACCTCCCACCAGAGGGATCAGCTGGCGCATCCCTCCCGAGGGGCACACGCCTGACGGTTCAGTCGCCCAGGAAAATACAGGTGCCGGGGAAGGAGAGAGGCGGAAGCAGCCTCCGGGGGTGGGCGGGAGGACTCACCGAACATCTGAATGTGCCCTTTGGTGATGGGATTGAAGCTGCCGCAGGCAAGCAAGATAACGTGGGTCTTGGTGGTCTCGGTCATTTTGCGGGTGGGTCTCTCGCGCGGGTCCAGGGGTCGCCTCTTTTTTTGTGTCTCGATATGTCTGCAGAGGGAGAAAGGAAGGCGAGGCTCCGGCGGTGGATGCTGTGGACTCCAAGGAGCCGCTCCAGACGCAAACCGCGTCACTCCCCCGCCTCCCCTTAACGCTTGCAGCTCCGGCCAGATCCGAAGCTGCTTTTGTATTGCTCTGCTCCGTCCTTCTCTTTTCTTTTCGTTTTCTCCTTTTTCCACGGCTCTGGTCGTGGTCTTCCGCCCCTCCCTTTCCTCGCCCCCACCCACCTCTCTCCATCAGGCTCTTCCCTAGTGTTTCTGTAGGTAAGACGTGGTACCCAAGCTCAGAACCATGAATACTCACAGCATGGTGTGAGCTCTTTCTCTTACCTCCTTCTGACTTTTCCTCCCACACGCTAACATTTTTCTGTCCACATCTACTTTCTCTAACATTTCCAACTCCAAAAGTGTTTGATCTTAAGATCGGTCTTTTTTTCTTCCTCAAAATTTTAAGGGAGAAATGACAATTGTTCATGTCAGGAATACTAATTTCTGTCTTTCTTTTTCCCCTTATCTGATGATTTTGAACTGATTAACTGAGTCCAGATCTTGACCTAGAGGTTCCCAGAAAGTAGGGGAAATCTGAATCCTTTCCCTAGAATAAAAATATTTCTTAATGTTTATTAATTTTTGAGACACACACACACACACACACACACACAGAATCTGAACCTGGCTCCAGGCTCTGGGCTGTCAGCACAGAGCCTGATGTGGGGCTCGAACTCTGAACAGCAAGAATATGACCTGTGCTGAAGTCAGATGGCTAACCTACTGAGCTACCCAGGCGCCCCAGGAGGAAGATATTAAATGGCAATTGTGCAATGCACAGTAAGTGAATGCCTTTCACTCTGATAGAACAAAAGGTGAATGGAGGAGAGAGGACTACTTCAAATCCAGGAGTCAGGAAAGGCCTCCCTGGGGAGGTGAAATTTAAACTCCAGCCTACATGACAAGTACCTGTTAGTACATATACTTTGGGACTAGAAAGGTTTTTTGTGTGTGTGTGCTCATAGATGCGAAAGAAGGCCAGTGTGACTAGAGTTCATGAATAAGGGGAAAATACCAGGAGACAAGATTGAACTTCTGATCAGGACAGAAATGAGTGGGGCTTGGGGGCTAGGGTTGGGTTGGGATGCTTTTCTAAGTGGAATAACTCAGGAATGAGAAAAGGAAACCATTGAAACTTTAAGGAGCGGAGTGATGAGTAATTTACATTTTCATAAGATCACTCTGGCTGACAGGTGAAAAGTGGGAGGGCAAGGCAAGCATCCAGGAAACTGCTGGTGGCCTAGGCTAAGTAGAGTTGTCCTTGGACTAGGACTTATAAAGGTGAAATTGATGAGAAGCTGGCGGTCTCGGGACAAGTTTCATAGATGAAGTTTATGGTCTTTGCATATGGATTGGATGTGTGGGATGAGGGAAAGAGAAATCTAAGAAAATGTCTAGAAATTTGGGTTAAGCAAAGGAGTGCACTGAGACTGAGAAAGTGGGGAAAGAAAGTTTGAGGGATATCTAAGTGTTCTATTGTGATATAGACAGACCTAATAATTCTTACATTTAATGGCCTTTTTAAAAGTTGAGGTATCATTGACGTACTACATTGTATTAATTTTAGGTGTACATAATAATTCTGAATTTAGAGATCCACAAATACAAATATTTACCTTTCCTAGGCTTTGAGGTTCTTGAATAAATTGCTACCCTTTATCAGTAGGTTGATTGTTGTTTCATATCCAAGATCACGTAAATATTTGTGCAGTAAATATTTGCTAAATTATGCTGAATCGCAAATCGACCCTAATGTGCACAAAATTTCTAGTTCAGATACAAAAGTCCTATGAGTCGATGTACATTTATAATGGGGTTAGTATCTTCCCTGGCATGGGATGCAGATTAGTGGGGTAGAAAGAGCAAGAGATATTGAAGGGAAGCTGACTTGGATATGAAACTCTGACACTAGCTGGACAATTAGCATAATTATAGTTAAGCAATAAATATTTTTGGAGTGTCTGCCCTGTGCCAGGCACTTGCTTTAGGGACTGTGAACAAAACAAAGACCCTATTTAATAGAGTTCACATTCTAGAGGGGAAAACACACCTTTAAAAAAAAAAAAGAATAAATATAATGGCAATAGATACCACAATGAAAAACAAAGCAGGGTAAGAAGAAGAGGAAAGGGAAATTCCCCTTTCTATAAGGTGGTCAGGGATGGCATCTCTGTTAAGATGGTATTTGAGCAGGAATGTGAAGCAAATGGAAGAATATACCTAATGGAATAGCAAATACAAAGAGCCTGGTGGAGCAGGAATGGTTGGGAATCTCAACAAGCATGCTTATGTTGCCAGAGAAAAGAAAGAAAGTGAAAAGGGGTAGGAGACAGATCAGAAAACTAGAACAGACATATAGATAGGGCCGCATAGCCATGGTTAGGGCTTTTGACTTTTTCAGAGATACGAAGTCATTGGAGGGTTTTGAGTGGAAAAGTGACATGAGCTAACTTACACTTGAAAAGTATCAGCTTGCCGCGCCTGGGTGGCTCAGTCAGTTAAGCGTCCGGCTCAGGTCGTGATCTTGTGGTTTGTGGGTTCGAACCCCATGTCCGGTTCTGTGCTGGCAGCTCAGAGCCTGGAGACTTTCAGATTCTGTGTCTCCCTCTCTCTCTGCCCCTCCCCTGCTCAGGCTCTGTCTCTCTCTGTCTCAAAAATCAATTTTAAAAAAACTATTAAAAAAAGATGGAGCAAAGAGAAACAAAAATTAAAAAAAAAAAAGGAAAGAAAAGTATCAGCTTGGCAGGAGATATAAATTCTGGAGTCAACAGTACAGTTTTATATTTAAGACCATAGGATTAAATGAGGTCATGTGAGGAGTAACAGATACCTAAATAAGAAAAGAGTCCCTCAGCTTCAGCCCTGGGGCACACCAAATTAATAATAGTAGCTAACATTCTGTGAGTATTGCTAAGAAGCCCAGGCACCATAAGCTGGTTACAGATGTTAATTCATTTAACACTCAAAGTAACTCTGTGAGTTCATATAATGATAATAAGTCCATGTACTTTATCCCATTTTAAAGATGAGCATAAGGGAGAACAGAGAAATGAAACTCGTCCAAGTTCAGACAACGAGTATGTATGGAGCCAGATTTCAACTCTAGTATTTTTTTTTTTTAATGTTTATTTTTGAGAGAGAGAGATACAGAATGTGAATGGGGAAGGGTTAGAGAGAGAGGAAGACACGGAATCTGAAGCAGGCTCCAGGCTCTGAGCTGTCAGCACAGAGCCTGACAGCAGGTCTCTGAACCCACAATCAGTGAGATCAGACTGGAACTGAAGTCGGACGCTTAACTGACTGAGACACCCAGGCGCCCCTACAAGTTAATTTTAGTAAAAAGAACGAAACATATCCAACTCTGAATCGCCACACAGAATAGTAGTCAGTAGATATATACTGATGAGTTAAGATAAAAAATCTTTTTGCCGGGGCGCCTGGGTGGCTCAGTCGGTCAAGCATCCGACTTCGGCTCAGGTCATGATCTCATGGTTCATAGGTTTGAGCCCCGCATCGGGTTCTGTGCTGACCGCTAGCTCAGAGCCTGGAGCCTGCTTTGGAGTCTGTGTCTCCCTCTCTCTCTGACCCTCCCCTGCTCATGTTGTCTCTCTCTCTCTCTCAAAAATAAATAAAACATTAAAAAAAATTTTTTTAAACTCTTTTTGCCAGCCAACTGCCCAGAGAGTAACAATGAAACAGGATTGTGTTATACAATGCGATAAATGTTTTTAATCTTGTAGGTTATATCTTAAGTAATAGTTTAAATTCTATCGATTAGATTAATTGGCTGTGATTCTAATTTTCTCTTGTCATTTTCCTTATGCTTTTATCTAATTTCTGCATCCCCAAAGAAGGCTCTGGAATTGGAATATAAAAACATGGGTGGGGCACCTGGCTGGCTCCATCAGTACAGCATGAGACTCTTGATCTCAGGGTCTTGAGTTCAAGCCCCAGATTAGGCATGAAATCTACCTAAAAATAAATAAATGAATAAAAATTAAAAATAAAAAATAAGTACATAGATAAAAATTTTTAAAAAATACATGGAGAGCATGGATCCATTTGTTATGGATCAAATAACACCATGTGTGAGTTATTGACTTTTTACAAAGCATACTGTCATCTTTAGGTCATACTCTATAGTTGTTCCATACAAAACACCTATCATTTTTCAGTGTTTAGTTGTTTCTATGGATGGCTTTATCGAGGAGGTTTCTGGAAGTTCTGTTCATAGAGGGTAATGGCTTTGGAAATGTGCCAGGAGTGTATATATTAACCAACAAAAACAAATAGCCAAAAACATACTAATGATGAATTTATTTTCAGGGAAGATTCCAAGGCTGGGTCATAAGATATAGAAAGGGGAATGTCAACTCTTGCATAATACATGTACCTTAATATATATAGTGATCTATTCTCAGGAGTGCTTATTTTAACTTAGGTCATATAATTTGGTCCAATATTTCAGCTTTCCAACGCCTGGGTAATTGTTTTAGGCTGAAAAGGAACCAGAGTCATTCTCCCACAGCCTAAATCCTGCAATCTATTCTATCTAGCCAGTTCAGTTTCCAAATGGGTCAAGACAACCCAGAACTTTCCTTACTGTAAATATGTCTTCTGATGAGTAGACATAAGTGTCTATTGGCTCTGATTTGAAATGCACACATACAAAGTTTAGCAAAGTGGGTATGCATGCTCCCTTCTCTCCCTATTCACCTAGTTGAGATCAATCATCTGTTTACATCATAGATCAGGAGGAAATCATTCCATGTTTATGAAGCTAGTTCCAAAGTAGTATTAGGGCTCATCCTTTATGGGAAGAGCAAAAAGACACACACGTAGATACATAGATGTGGCTTCTTTATTCTTTTTTAAAGTTTTTAATTTATTAGTTATTTTTGAGAAAGAGAGAGTGTGAGTAGGGGAAGGTCAGGGAGAGAAGAATAATCCCAAGCAGGCTTGAACCCCTGAAACCGCAAGAT